GGCTGTACCATTTTGTTAAAAATTTTCTAGACTCTGCCTGGATAGACTTCTTGATGAAAACAAAAGGAAAAGAGGCTTCAGGTTTCGTGATAGATCTGGGCAGTCATTTCGTGACCATCATTTCCTACCCTCTTTAAATCACCTCAGTGGATCCCCTCTTTTCTCAAGAGAGGATCTGAAATTCCCAATGAAACACAAAACCTCAAAACAAAATTAATTTCAGTTTACTTTGAATTTTTAGTCTTTGTATAACACTGGAGAGCTGGGATGGCTGAACTGAAACCTGAAGGAAAGAATTAGAGAGGCTGGATCCCCGTCTCCTAATTTGGTTCAGAGCTTTTGGGCTGGGGTGTGAAGGGTGTCCGTCGGATGTTTTATATTTATGTATAAATGCACATTTTAAGTAGATAAAAATAGGCAATTTATAAATAATACATATTTTATATAAATAATGCTATGTAGGTACATATATGTACATTTGTATTTTAAAATCTTTCTTATATATGTGTATATTACATGTATGAATGTTTTATATGTGCTATATATAGTATCAGTATATATACCTATGTAATATGGACCATAAATATGTATATATATATATATTTACATTTATATATAACATATGTCTATGCATGTGGGCATATGTATATTTGAAGAAATATTTCTTACTATATAAATATATGTAGTTATATGTGTATCTTAGGTAGGCTATAAAATATATACCAAAATATCAAATGTATAAAGTGGTCATTTCTGAGAAGTAGAATTGTGGATAATTTTTATTTTCTATGTGTCTGTATTTCTAAATATTCTATGAATATAAAGCATCACTGTGCAAGCATAGAAAAACCTTTGAAAGGAAAATGAGATGAAATGCCTTCCTGCAAATCATGCAAGTCCTCAGGAAAATTGTTTTCCTGCTCTGGTGAATGAGGGTTCCTGATTCCCTGGTTATGAGTCCTTGTCTTCATCTCAGACTGCGGTCCGTGTGCCCTGGCCATACAGTCTACAGGCTCCATGGGTTTCCATGGTCTTACGATTGCTCCCTCTCCCCCTTTCCTTCTCCTGGCATGAAGAAGCTCACTCATCTGATACCATCACAAAGAATCCCCAGGATCCCTCAAATGTTCCTGTCCCCTGTGTTCACTGATGCTCCCACAATTATGACACATGTGTGTTATTTCCCTCAATCTTCCATGGCAGACAAAACTATAATATTAGTAAGGCACAAGTTCTAGATTGGTGTTCTCATATCTATGAGAACTGAGAGGGCTTTTCAGAATGCAGCCCACTGGGTCCCACCCCTGCAGAGATTCTGACTCAGTAGGTCTGACTCTGGCCTAAGGAACTGCATTGCGAATAAGCCCCCAGATGCTGCTGATGTTGTTGGTCCTTAGACCACATTTTGAGGAGCAAGGTCTATTAGTTTTCAAAGCATGAACTCCACACCAGCAGCCTCAGGAACACCAATACATTTTCAAGAATCACAGAATTTCAGACTCTCTTCCAGAGGTATTGTATGCCTACTATAGACCAAGCAGCTCCTTATCACCAGTCTGGTGACAGAAGAATCTGTGTTTTCACAAGACTCCCAGGATATTCAAGTGGCCTGGAAGATGGAGAAGCACCAGAATAGACAACAAGAAGAAGGCAGGTGCATCCAAAAGCAATGAAGAGGCACGCTGAACTGAAAGAGCCTGGCTGCCCGCTGTTCCCTGGGTACCTAGTTAAAGTCACTGTGTCTTAAATCTGAGAATCAGCACCAGGAACAAAAGATGAATTTCTCATGGGTAAAGCGCCAAGTTCCTCGGACTGAGGTGAAAAATCAGAGTGCCAGTATATTAATTTATAATGAAAAGCTAAACAGGTGAGAGATGTGCAACGGCTGGGGGAATCTCCCCGGAAAGGCAGGCAACAATGAAAATCTAAGCAGACCCTGACTGGGTGAGCAGAGTGCAAGAACCCCAGGAGTCAAGGGCAAGGTTCTAATTTCCTTTAGCAATGAGAGCCTTATTCGTAAGAGCAAGACTCTTGGGAGGCCAGCCCAGGGCATCTTCTCTCCTGTGCTCTGTCTGAATGGTATCAGGCAGTCATCTTGGTCCACCTTTGTTATTCCTCTTTCCAGGACTGAACAAACTGCTTCCCATCAATATGTTCTTTAGAGATGCAACTACTTCAATTAGGCCACCCATTATACTTTGCGGATGTTGTGTATTTCTACTTTCTTTTTTCATTTAAAAGTTGAATCATTAGTGGAAAATTCCCTTTCTTTTATTTCAAAGTTCCCTGGGTTTATCACACAGCAGGATTCACGTGGTTCTCACAGATTGTTCTGTGATGTTTTCAGGATTTTATTTTCCTTACTCAAATCTACAGAATAGGAATGATGATCACCATTTTTCAAATGAACAATAGAGACCAAAGGGGTTGTTATCAGTTGAATTGTGTCTCCACAACTGGTATTTTGAATGATGTATAGCTAACATCTGATAACCATGAATTATTTGGAAAAAGGGCTTTTGCAGAGGCAATCAAGCTAAGCTGAGTTCATGAGTGGGCTCTAATCCATTGTGACAGGTGATTTTATAAGAAGAGGGAAATGCTGTGAGAAGACAGAGACATACAAGACCAATGCTATGTGAAGTCAGAGGAAGAGGCTTTAAGTTAAGGAATACCGAGGACTGAGGCCACCATTAGAAGCTGGAAAGATGCAAGGAAAGATTCTATCCCAAGTCTCAGAGGGAGCCTGTCCTTGCTGATGCAGTGACTTTGAACTTTTAGCCTCCAGAACTGTGAAACAAACAAATCTCTGTTGTTATAAACCACCAAGTTTGTGGTACTTTGTTTTAGCAGCCATAGGAATCTAAGAGAGAGAGCTTTGTTTGTTTGTTCTAATTGCATCCTAGTTATCCAAGTTGGTGGTGGAGGCAGACACTGCTGGACCTTTACCTCCAGATCCCCTCCATCCTCAGCATATCATCATACACTGATAGCATCGGCCTGCACACACCTGCTCTCCTCTACCTGAGGGCTTTCTCTTGGCCCAAGAAGTGAGAAGTTTCAGAGTGCTGAGAAGTCAACACCTCTAGGAGCAGCCATCAGCCAATGATGAATGGAAACCGGAGGATAAATACATCTGCTTTATTCCTGCAAGTGAGGCCACACTGCAGTGTGTTTCAATCTATCTCCCAGATGTCCCAAGTGGCCTTGAGCCTCTGCTGCTCACATTGGTGACCTGTTTCCAACTCACCCCACATCGGTTTCCTCTCTGCCCCCGCTCCCCAGTGGTATTTTCTAAGACCATCTGCAAATAAACCCCTGCTGCCTTGCCTTAAAGAATCTTCTGGGGAAACCCAGCCAAAAGCAGACCTAAGACTGACTCACACCTAAGGCTGTGTTCCTTCCACTCTGGCACTTTAAGGAGATACTAAATACCATTTTTATTCTTTGGTATTCTCTCAAATGATGAACCTATAATCAACAAAACATGTAACCACAGACTTTAAAATGCACTCCTTTGTGCTCTCATAGATTTTGCTATAAATGTCCTGTGAGGTAGGAGATGGAGTAGGGCTGCTGATACAGTGCGTCATGGTGAAGCTTTATTTCGGTGTCAAATACATGCGAGGCCCATGCTAAATGCCTTATGCACAATATATTATTAAATCCCCGATAAGTCTTTGCATTAGGGTTAGTCTTGTGTAGGTTGTCCTTTGACATAGAACAAAACTCTTTGAGGTCAAGCATCATGTCCAGCCCATTAAAATAGACTGAAAAAACTCCCATTAACACAATAGTAAGTTTAGAGAAGTGGGGGAGGATGGTGGTGTGCTTTCAAGGTACTCCCTGTCTTCGCTGCACACCCACAGTGCTTTGTGCTTCTTAAATGCAATGAATATGTGACAGGATTAAATGATGGGCAAACAGAAAAAATCCAGTCTAGTGGAGCCTCAAGCTAATACAATTTGGGAGCCTTTGTTATTATGATAAAACATTTATAACACAATATGTATTATTTTAACCTTTTTAAGTGTAAAATTCAGTGGCAATAAGTATATTAGGCTGGGCCCTGTGGCTCACACCTATATTCCCAGCATTTCAGGAGGCCAAGGCAGGAGGATCCCTTGAGCTTAGAATTTGAGACCAGCCTGGGGAGCATAGTGAGATCTTGTCTTTACAAAAAATTTAATAGATAAATTAGTCAAGCATGATAGTGCACACCTATAGTCCCACCTACACGGGAGGCTGAGGTGGGAGGATTGTTTGAACCCAGGAAGTCAAGGCTGCAGTGAGCTGTGATCCTGCCACTACACTCCAGCCCCGACAACAGAGTGAGACCCTGTCCCTCCACCCCCCAAAAAAATAAGAAAAGAAAGAAAAAGAAAAGAATCAGTTTGCATAACAATGTTGTATAACTGTCACCTCTATTTCCAGAATGTTTTAATTTTCCCAAACAGAAACTTTGTAACTATAAAGCAATAACCCCCCCATTCTACAATCTCCCCAGTCCCTGATAACGTCTAACTTACTTTCTGTTCCTATGAATTTACCTATTCTAGTCTCTCACATAAGTAGAATCATATGCTATCAATGAATTTGTCCTTTTATGTCCAGCTTAATTTAGCACAGTGTTTTCCAGGTTCATCCATGTGGTATCATGTATCAGAACCTCATTCCTTTTAAAAGCTGAATAACATTCCATTGTGAGTACAGACCACATTTCATCTATCCATTCTTCTATCTGTGGGCATTTGGCTTATTTCTACCCTTTAACTTGTGAAGAATGTTCTTACGAACACTGATGTATAAGTATTTGTCTGCATTCCTGCTTTTCGACTCTTTGGGGCATGTAAGAGTAGAATCACTGGATCACATGGTGATTTCCCATTTAACTTTTTAGAGAACTGCCAATCTGTTTTGCACAGTGGTTACACTGTTTTGCATTTGGCCTGGGAGCTAGAGGCAGAGAGTTTCAAGTTAAATATTTAGAAATATCTTACCTTTACAGAGATTACAAAAATGCATCCTGCCATCTTCAGACGGTGATGTCTGCTCTCTTGTTCACAAGATGGCAGCCTCTGCATGCTGTGACTATGTTGTTGAGGCTCTTCCCCAGAACCTGTGCCAGTAAGTGGCCTTGAGCTCCAGCTTTGGCTTCACTGACTTCCTGATAAATCCATCTCTGTGGATTTACATCCAAGAACAACTTCTTGTCATTTGCTGAAAAATCACGAAGTTCAAATCCTACAAGTAAGATTAAAAAGGGAAGAGTTACTTTGTAAATGTTTCTGGGGACCAACATGCTGATTGGTTTTAAATTTCAGCCTGTCTCCTGGTGATGTTTGGGTGAACATCTTTCCTTTTATCTGTTTCTCAGTATCACCTTAGACCCAGTCAGAGGGGCACCTACAAAATGCCACGTGCTTCAAAGGCCTCTCTCCTGCTGTGTTTCAAAGTTCCAAGCTGTTTTGTTCAGGCTATTCTTCAGGTGCCGAGTGTTCTGACATTTCTTTCTAATGGGCCATGATTTGGTTTCAGAGTCACGTGTGCCTTTTCCACAGTCCATCCTTCCACAGCTGTGCGTATCTTGGTGTCAACAGGGTAGCCACTTATGTCTATTGGAGGTACGGGAGAACTGGATGAAACGTGAACTTATAGGCTAAAGTGTCTGAATATGTTCTTTCAAGACATCTTGTAGGTAGGACAGAGCTGGGGAATGAGAAGGGAAGAGGCCCCGCCATGGATCAGGGACTAGAACTAGGATCTCCTTGCATCACCATGTTCCAGCAGGATGCCCCCTAAAAAGTCCAAACACTCAAAATTGTAATTTGTCTTCTCAGGTTGTTATGATGGCATACTATTCTCTAAGCCACGAGGACAGAACACATTTAACTCAGCAGTTTGTAGCTTAATTTTTAACCTGTAAATATTTAGTATGTGTTGTGGGTCACTGTTTCTGCCTTGCCCTGGGTTCCACAAGCATTAGGAATGGTCCTGCTGTTTTCTTCTCATCTGTAATTTGCTAACTACAAATTCATCCATCCAAATACCTGCATAAACATGGATGAAATCCATCAAGAGGGTTATTACTTACTTAAGAATCTTGTCAGGTAGTCTCATGGGCATCTCAAGAAAGCAACGAAAGCTTGGCACTTTCTTCCCTTCTCATCCGTCATCTTCAAAATGAGGGATGCCTGTCCTCATGCACCCAAGACGGCTACCTCAGCTCCGACCATCACACTGCCACAGACACTGCCCTGAGCAAGACAACGGGCATCAAGAAAGCTGTTTTTTTTCTAGTATTACTCTTCGTTGTGGAAAATCTTACCCAAATGTCCCAGCAGAATTCTCCTTCCATCTTATTGGCCGTAAGTACTTACATTTTCCACTTCTACTCAAATCACAGCCAAACAAAATGAGTTATTTAATTGGCTTAGACCATTTGGAAATTGTCTTTTGGAAGTTGCACACATTGCTGCCCCAAAAAAAAAAAAAAAAAAAAGAGAAATAGCAGGTTACTCTCAGTAAAAAGGAAGGGAGAACTTGCTTTAGGCTGGGAAGCCATAGCAACAGACAGAGAGAGCGGTTACTTTCCTTAGAATTGTAAAGGAGGATTAGTAATTAGGAAGCAAAGAAGAAAAGGGGATTTGTCACTTGATAGAAAAGGCAGCCACAACTAAGCTTTTGTAATAAGCAGATTGTGAGAAGAAAATGTTCAAATGAAGTTCCATGGGCCTTCATGATAAATGGTGAATGATTAATTCATTGCATTTCATTAAATTTATGAATTGTATTTGTTATATAACACGTCACTAATAAATAATGGCTGATAGATTAATATTGCTGTTCTCCATCAATATGGAGAATATGATATCTTTTCACCAGAATTAACTGTTGCCAGGAGAAAAATCAACCCTAAACCCTTCATTGCTCATGAAGCAAAATGACTTAATCAGCTCATCCCAGAAATGAAAGCAATCTGGAGCCACCATTTAAAATCCTGACAAAGCATTCAACTTCTGACATTCCAAGGAGAAGCATCTGTGTTTTGTCTTATCCCAGGGACAAGCATAAACGTATTGTAGAAAAAATGCACAAATGTCAACAAGGTGCCATACATCTGAAAGCTTCTCAAGTGCTTGTCTAACCGCAAGGTATTTTTTAGCGTCCTATTGCTTGCCTGCAACTCAAAGTTTACATCCCAGCAGTAGTAAGGTTATGGTGCCCTTCTTCTATGCACAGAGAGTACATTTATATAGAATATAAATATTATGACCTACGGGATACCACATACATACAAACAGCCTGGGCTGGGCGCAGTGGCTCACACCTGTAATCCCAACACTTTGAGAGGCCGAGGTGGGTGGATCATATGAAGTCAAAAATTTGAGACCAGCCTGACCAACATGGAGAAATCTCATATCTACTTAAAATACAAAATTAGCTGGGTGTGGTAGCAGGTGCCTGTAATCCCAGCTACTCAGGAGGCTGAGGCAGGAGAATCACTTGAACCAGGGAGGTGGAGGTTGTAGTGAGCGGAAATGTCACCATTGCACTCCAGCCTGGGCAACAAGAGCAAAACTCGGTCTCCAAAAAAAAAAAAAAAAAAAAAAAAAAAAATTGGCCTGGAGGTCAGGATGACATCTCAGTAGCTACATTTCTATTTCTACACAGTCCTGATAAGTGGCACTTTTAGTTAGGTAGGAGCTATAGAACAGCGATAGAGGTGATATCCACTTTTGGAAGTGACATGTGGCAGGATACCACAGCGTAGGGCAGACCTAGGTAAGGGAGCACACTCATGCTCACTCTGTGCTGCCTGGGCTTTCTTACCACGTGGTGGCCAGGTTCCAAGAGACTGCAGCCTCCCTGAGACAAGAAAAAGAAGCTACCAGTTCTCAAGGTCTGAGACTGGGAATTGTCACAGCATCACTTCTGGTATATTCTATTTGTCAAGAAGTCAGAGCCAGGATTCAAAGGTCTGGGACATACAGTTCATCTATTGAAGGGAGGAGTATCAAAGAATTGGGGCCAGGTCTTAAAACCACCACATCAGCTTGAATGTTGTTTCAGGGAGCCTTGTCTGGCTACCTCCTCTTAAGCAGCCCTGCCCATTCCCCAGAGTCACAGAGATATCACAATATCTCTTTGATTTTCTTCATAGCACCATTGCCTGGACTTACTTGTAAATGCTTTTATTTAGTTGCATAATTAATTTTAAGCTTATTTCCATCTACTAGGTAATTTCCACAATAGCAAGAACATTAGTGATCTTGTTCACAGCTATATCTGTATATAGTAGTGCTCACTAAACAAAAAGTTGGTGTACAATCAACCTTTGTTGAATGGATGAAGTTTTTATCCTGTAACTCCTTCAACAGCTCCTAACAAGGATGTATGCGAGACTCACCATTAATACTGGTCCCTCAGGCTTCTTTGTATAATCTAGGGCTCTCATTAATATGACCACTCCTAGACCTAAGAATCCAGATACTCATCACAGGTCTAACCTGTGAAACTATAGCTGAAGCTGCCTAGAACTAACATAATTGTGGCTGAGTGTTGCCTCATGGAAATGCACCAAATACCCTGTCACACAAATTCGTAGCTCTGACATGAAAAAATTGGATTAGGAAATAGCTACGGAAGAGACGTTCATGAAGGCACAGCTTTCTGAGTGCAGAGAAGAAAATGTCTCTGTGCATTTGTTGCTGTCCATGGTTATAGAGTTATTGGGAAGCAAACAGTAACAGTGCAGCGGTAATTCTGAGAAAATGGGCTGAGTGACTTATTGCCTGTTGGTTCAGAGCCTGCAAATCTGTTTTCCAAAGTGCAGCTGGGATAAAGCTACAGAATAATGTTCTGCTTTTTACCTGCTCCCACGGCCTTTATTGGGTCCCAGGAGGGAACGCTGAGCAAGGACTGAGAGAAACTCGCACACCAGATTCTAGGAATGACGCAGGCTGGGTAGCTGCAAGATGGATATTTACCAGACTTCAGTCTTCATCTCAAATTAGTGACGCATCTCTGTTAATGAGGGCAGACTTCACCATGATTGTGCATCTCTATTTCTTTTTGGAAGAAAATAAAGTCAATTAAAATCATTGCATTTCAGAAGAAAAGCAGTTCACACTGTGTTTTATTAGTGGCACAATGGTGTTGTTTTCCTTTGTTACCAAGACAAAAATTAGCAGGCGTCTAATGGCACAAAGGTGGGTGACAAGCAAAATAGGCTATTAGTAAGGTGGCTGTTTTCAAACAGTGGAGGCAGCTTCCAAGATTTAAAAACAAAATAAAAGCTCTTCTCGGTGCTGTCAGTGTCTTTCTCCCAGTTTGCAGACCTCCTTTCAGTCACTACCTTATGCTGTCTGGTTGAAACATTTAAAGACTGTTGTTTTTTTCCCCCAGTACATCTCAAATATTAAACTAAATAAAAGAAACATTTAGGTCATTTCTGGAGATTAAGACATGCTTTTAGATGATTTAATTGCTATAAAGTTCCAATTGGGAGTTTTGGTGTTTAATTGTATGTGTTGTATATTTAATATGTATTATTTTTAATTTTTGATTCTACTTTATGTATTATTATACATATTTGTTTCTGTTTTAGTTAAAACAGTAACAAGTTTGGCTTCAGGAAAGAAAAGAAAGGCTTCCTTAGAAGTTGGGACAGTATCCCAAAGAAGTCACTGTGAAACTAAAGAAAATAGAAATCAGAAAGGTAACATCTGATTAAGATTAGTGAGAAAAATAGGGAAAGACCCCACGTCCTCTGATATACATGAAACTGAGCAGGGGGAATACTCTGACCAGAAACCTGATATGGTCAAAACAGAACTCTTCATCTTTCCTTTCATCCTAAAATTGTTCTTTCCAACTCTCCCAACTCTTCTCGAAAATGTTACCATTCTTTCAGATTACCAGCCTGGAATATTCTATTCCTATTTCTTTTATCTTCTTGTTGTTTCCTAAAATTAGACCTTAAATATGCCATTTATTTTCATTTTTTCCTCTTATATTTTCTTTTTGTTGTTTGTTTTAATTTTTTTATTCCCAGTTTGGAGTGAAGTGTTGGCTTAGTTCTGGTTATACTGAGTTTCTTTAAGACATATAGGATGAAATGTTCATCAAATGGGTGCAAATATGGGATTAGAATTCAGGAGCACCTTCAAGGTATGCAAGGAAATCCGTATTTGAAACCCACTTAAAAGAAGAGTTGGTTTCAAGAGTGGATTTCTTCTTCATAAGAAGAGACAGTGGTGAATCTCATGACACTGAACTGAATGGAGGTAGCCCAGAGAGAGCTCAATCACTAAGGTAAGGGGAGCATGACCAAGAGCCAAAGGAGACATATGTAGGATAGAAGAAAAGAAAGTGGTAAGTCCAGTACACTGGGCAGCAAAGAAGAAGCTTCGAGAAGGAGTTGTCAAGTCATCACTGTCAAGTATTGTAGAGAGGTTCAATAAGGATGGAAAATCTGAACAGCCAGTTGAGTTTGACTTCCAGGAGGAGACTTTCTAGGTTGAGTAGAGTCTTAGGAAAGAAATGGAATAGGAGCAATGGGTAACCTGCGGTGCAGAGGTCTAAACAAGAATGAATGATCTTCAAAATGGACTGGAAAGCATTTCACATCATATTCACCTTTACTCTTGTCCTAGTCTGGATTTCTTCCCTCCTCTCCCAAAGCAGAGCCTGAGGAAAGGGCTTGAGTACAGGTAGTTTATGCAGAAAGTGATCCCAAGAAATGAGAGTCGGGGTCTGGGAAGAAGTGAAACAAAGAAGAGAAAGCAATATAAAGATGTATTACAAAGCCAGTGAAGCAAAGCTGTTTGCACCTCAAGACCAGAAGGTGAAGTGAATGTTAGCCTGGTTCCCCCCTTGAGCTCCTTATTTCTTCCAAAACCCGACATTTTCAAAGCTCTCTCTTCAAGGTTGTTGGAGAAACATCTGGCTAGAAGACTGTACTCATCTTTGATAACCTCTCCCTCCCCACCCCGCTACCAATCTAATGAAGACTTTAGCTTCAGGCACTCCTACACGGATTCATCTTTCTCTCCCTGTCCAGAGCTTAGGAAGTATGTTTTCTTTACTTCGTCTGGAAAGGGAATCTTCCTACTTCTCCAGGTCACTCTCCATTCATTTCTTCTAATCCTCTTTCCCTCAGGGGATTGAAATTTTGGAGACAAAAGTCACATCACCGTAGTTCTCATATAAGACAGCCACCCCACTAAAACACACACACATCCATATGAACAAACCCAATGAAACTGGCAGATAAATACTCTTCTCTCCCATCCCATGTAAATCATTTTGGTATTATGCCCTTAGACTTGCCTTCCCTCCTTCTCTATCT